TGGAGGAACCCTTGAAGTAGTTTTCAGGTCTCAGAGAACCCCAACTAAGGCCCCATTCCTCTCTGCGTGTTCCAAGAACGCATGAAAACCGCGTGTTGCCCCTGCAGTGCCAATTATTGTTAATAGCACTCCAAATGTGGCTGTGAAATGTGTTTTGTCATGTCGCACGGTGGAGATATTTGCCAGCACATCACGGATCTTCAAGTTGAGTCCAAACGGTTGTCTGAAGTATAATCACATCATATACAAGAGCGTGCAATGTTTCGGAGTCATGCAGGACCCCTTCATAAGGCGTGTGACAAACAGGACCCTTCATCAGGCGTGTGACAAACAGGACCCCTTCATCAGGCGTGTCACAAACAGGACCCCTTCATCAGGCGTGTGACAAACAGGACCCCTTCATCAGGCATGTGACAAACAGGACCCCCTTCATCAGGCGTGTGTTGACAAACAGGACCCCTTCATCAGGCATGTGACAAACAGGACCCCTTCATCAGGCGTGTGACAAAACAGGACCCGTTCATCAGGCATGTCACAAACAGGACCGGTTCATCAGGCGTGTCACAAACAGGACCCTTTCAGGCGTGTGACAAACAGGACCCCTTCATCAGGCTTGTTATAAAATAGGACCCCTTCATCAGCCGTGTGACAAGCAGGACCCCTTCATCAAGCGTGTGACAAACAGGACCCCCTCATCAGGCGTATGACAAAACAGGACCCCTTCATCAGGCGTGTGACAAACAGGACCCCTTCATCAGGCGTGTGACAAACAGGACCCCTTCATCAGGTCTTTGGAAGCCATTGCTGTCCAAAAAGAATATTGCAGCATGTTTGAAGTTTGCAAAAGAGTACCTGGATGTTCCACAGCACTACTGGCAAAATATACTGTGGACAGATGAAACCAAGATTGAGTTGTTTGGGAAGAACACACAACACTATGTGTGGAGAAAAAAAGGCACAGCCACTTCCAACATCAAAACCTCATCCCACTGTAAAACATGGCTGGGGGGGGAGCATCATGGTTTGGGGCTGCTTTGCTGCCTCAGGGCCTGGACGGATTGTCATTGATGGGAAAATGAATTCCAGAGTTTATCAAGATATATTGCAGGAAAACGTTACGACCATCTGTCCACCAAATGAAGCTCCGCAGAGGATGGGTGATGCAACAGGACAATGACCCAAAGCATACAAGTAATTCAACTTCAACAATGGCTGCAACAGCACAGAATACACCTTCTGGAGTGGCCCAGTCAGAGTCCTGACCTCAACCTGATTGAAATGCTGTGGCATGACCTTAAGAGAGTGATTCACACCAGACATCCCAAGAATATTGCTACACTGAAACAGTTTTTGTGAAGAGGAGTGGTCCAAAATTACTCCAGGTCGTTGTGCAGGTCTGATCTGCAACTACAGGAAACGTTTTGTTTAGGTTATTGCTGCCAAAGGAGGGTCAACCAGTTATTAAGTCCAAAGGTTTACATACTTTTTCCTCCCTGCACTGTGAATGTTTACATGTTATGTGCAATTAAACCATGGCAACATCTAATGTTTGTGTAGTATTATGTTCAGCAGACTGTGTTCTTCTATTGTTGTGACTTAGATGACGTTCAGAGCACATTTTATGCCCAATTCATGCAAAACTCCACATAATCCCAAGGGGTTCACATACTTTTTCTTGCAACTGTATAGGACCCCATAAACTGCACATATCTGGTGATATAAAAGAATTGTGCACACAAACAATAAATATGGGTACACCGATGACGTCAGACCGCAAAAACGGAAGTGCACGTGCCGCCATTTTGGAAAAGGGATTTCTGCACACTTCTTACAGCAAACACTGTATAGTGAGTTTTTAACCCTGTAGTGTCCCAGGAGGACACATTTTATTGTGAGTTTTATTGGGACGCAGTATCTGCCTGTACACATTCACTACTCCCAATTTGACATCTGTGCATGTTCCCAAGCGCACAGAATGTTCCACACCCGCATGGATGTCAGATTGGGAGTAGCGGCTGTGTCTGAGCAGAATTTGGCCCAATAGACATGAGTAGGACTGCCTGCACAGGGATGCATGGAACACCCATACACCCCCATGCAGATAAACACGGCCCTCATAGGGGCATACAATGTGGTACACCAGTGTAAACAAGGCCTTGCAATAAAAATAAACACAATGACAAGCGGCAATGCGGTGACAAAACTGAGATGAACCAACAGATTGTCAGTGATGTGGGTACACAGCCAAAGTGCACCCACCCTCGCAATCCTCATGTGAAAATTCTGGTGCCGAAACTGAAAATTCAGGATGCACTTTTTTAAAAATTATATATTTTATAAAAATGTATATATTTTTCAAATGCAATTTTTTGGGAAAATATTTTAATGATTAAAAAATTAAACACAACATATACCCAATATTTTTGTAAAATATGAAAGATGATGTTACGCCGAGTAAATGGATGCCTAACATGTCAAGCTTTAAAATTGCGCACACTTGTGGAATGGCGTCAAACTACGGTACTTACAAAAATCTTCATAGGTGTCTCTTTAAAAATGTCTACAGCTTACCAGTGTAAAGTGACAGAGGAGGTCTAGTGCTAGTGTTATTGCTCTTGCTCTGACGTTCGTAGCGATACCTCACATGTGTGGTTTGAACACTGTTTACATATGTGAGGCATGGCCTATGCATGCGTTCACCACTACGGGGGACGGGGGCACTTTAAACTTTAAAAAATATATGTTTATTTTTTTTTTTTACACTGTTTCTTTTAAAAAAAAAATTATCACTTTTATTCCTATCACAAGGAATGCGTGCATCCCCTGTGATAGAAACAGGGGCGGACTGACCATTTGGAAATTCGGGCACTGCCCGAGGGCCCGGGGTCAGTAGGGGGCCCCCATGAGATGCCCCTGGTACCTTTTTCATAGGCTTTTTTGAGTTTGGGCAAGACACAGGGGCCCCATGATCCCCTATTGCCCGGGGGCCCCATGAGTTGTCAGTCCGCCCCTGGATAGAAATAATTAGTGACAGGTCCTCTTTATGGAGAGATATGATGTCAATAAGACCCCACATCTCTCCTCTATAAGTTAACGCATTGATCTAGTTCTAGTGCTTTAAAAAAAATGACCTTGTTTACAAGGCGCCGGAACCAGAAGTGATGTCACCAGGGGCGGACTGACAACTCATGGGGCCCCTGGGCAATAGGGATCATGGGGCCCCTGTCTCCTTGCCCAAACTCAAAAAAGCCTATGAAAAAGGTACCAGGGGCATCTCATGGGGCCCCCTACGACCCCGTACCCTCGGGCAGTGCCCGAGTTTCCAAATGGTCAGTCCGCCCCTGAATGTTACTCCGGTTCTCAAAGGGCACAGAGATGAGTGGAGGCCATCTTTCCTTCACTTATGCCCAGAGCCGGGATCATTAGTTAGTTTATCAGGTAAGGCTGAGAACCACTGAGCGGCGGCGGCAGCGGTGGGCGGGTTGCGGCAAGGGGCAGCAGCTGACGGGCGGCGAGAGGGCGGGGTTATTTTTGGCACCTGTATCGGTGCTTATTTTCATATCGCTCAATGGCTGATAGGGGTGTTTTCTGCCAAAACTTTTCGGCTACAGAAGTTTCAGTGCATCCCTAAAAAAAACGCAACACTTGTGTTTTTGGTCCACTGAAGTCTATTACATGCAAAACACAATCTGCTGCGGGAAAAAAAAGTCCCTGACCCTTTGAAAAATCGCACCAGCTCAAAACGCACAAATGTGAACTAGATCCATAAGAAGTCATGTTAAATGGACTGTAGTGCGTTTCTGCAAAACACATAGGTGTGAACCAAGGCTTAGGGATTGTTCACACAGGAAGCCAGGGGTCCATAAAAGCAGGTGACTTTCCACCTAATCTAGGGCATGCAGCATGTCAGGGCTTTACCATGCCGCAGCTGCAATGCTTTGCTTAGTGGCCACAGCGAAAATTAAAGCGTTTAATAAACCGCCCGAAAAAAACTCCAAAATAATGGGCCCCTTGCAGGTTGAGGCCATAATGTATTAGTATGCAGTGCATACTAGTACATTATGACTGACTTGTACACAGAGCCCCCCAGCGCTGTGCTGTCACGGCTCCCCGGCGCCGCCATCTTCACGTGGTCTTCCTTCCAGGTTCGCAGACTCCGGCAGTATGAATGGCTGGAACCACGATGACGGCACTCCACACCAGGGGCGGACTGACAACTCATGGGGCCCCCCGGGCAATAGGGGATCATGGGGCCCCTGTGTCCTTGCCCAAACTCAAAAAAGCCTATAAAAAAGGTACCAGGGGCATCTCATGGGGCCCCCTACTGACTCCGGGCCCTCGGGCAGTGCCTGAGTTTCCAAATGATCAGTCCACCCCTGCTCCACACACATGTATGCAGGAGCCCTCGGCTGTGGCACGGAGCTCTGAAGGTCCAGCACACTGCATCGGTGATATCACTGGCTGCATGCTGTGTGAATATCTCCTAAACGGTGCAAGTTTACATATTCACTGTACCTACAGGTAAACCTTATCATAGACTTACCTGTAGGTACAACTTACAAAGTGGACTTTACTTCCACTTTAACCACTTGCCTACCGGGCACTTTCACACCCTTCGTGCCCAGGCCAATTTTCAGCTTTCAGCGCACACTTTGAATGACAATTGCGCGGTCATACAACACTGTACCCAAACAACATTTTTATCATTTTTTTGGAGACAAAGCTTTCTTTTGATGGTATTTAATCACCACTGGGTTTTTTATTTTTTGCTTAGTTTCTGTTATAAAATTTTGTAAATTAGTAATTTTTCTCCTTCTCTGATGTGCGCTAATGAGGCTGCAGTGATGGGCACTGATAGGTTCTGATGGGCATTTACAGCCATCACTGGTGGGCATTGACAGACATCACTGATGGGCACTGAAAGGCAGTACTCATATATGGCACTGATAGGCGGCACTGACTGGCACTGATAGGCGGCACTGATTGGCAGATTGGCAGCACTGATAGGTGGCACTGATTTCAGCACTCATAGGCAGCACTGACTGGCACTGATAGGCGGCACTGACTGGCACTGATAGGTAGCAATGAAAGCAGCTCAGATGGGCACTGATATGTGGTATTGATGTGCACTGATGGGCACTGACAGGTGGCATTGATGGGCATTGACAGGTGGCTTTGATGGACACTGACAGGTGGCACTGATGGGGCTACACTGATCATCAGGGCACTGAACATCAGTGCCCTGATGATCAGTGTAGATGTCCCCTCTGAGGAATGCCGATTACCGGCTCTCCTCTCCTCTGTCAGCGTGACAGCTCGAGAGGAGAGAAATGCCGATAACCGGCATTTCCATACTTACATGCGATCAGCTGTGATTGGACACAGAGCTGAAGTAATTGGCTCTTTCCGCTGATCTGTTGTGTCCCATGGACACAGCGCACCACCGATCGCTGCGCTGCATGCCCCCGGGGGGACGCACACGCAGTTAGATTGGGAGAGCATCATATAACGTCCTCCCAGAATGAGAGAACAACCGCCTGTCCCATCATTTCCTTATATGCCGGGCGGGAGGCGGTTAAACGATGTATTGCATTCTGTGCTACCAGACGTGATCCATTCAAGTGAATAGGTCCACGCCAGCACTGCCCTGCAATCTGTGCAATGCATGGGGTTGCAGAGCGGTGGGTCAGCATTTTCAGTGTTAGAACAGGCAATGAGGAGGCACCTCATTCATTGACCACCTCATTCACCACCACTTCTCACCTCTTCCCACCTGTAAAGCCTCCACGGATTGCTTTTCAGAGGGTTGACAAGGTTTTGCCACCCACTTAAACTAAGACATGCAGCCATTCAGGACTGTACACATCCTGTGGCGCTTTGCTTAGCAGCCATAGCGAAAATTAAATGGCCTGTTGCAATTTGAGTGAATGGGGTCAACTGTCCCATGTAGTTGCTGCACAATAGGTTTGCATTGTTAGGGTTAACCTCCTTGGCGGTATTCCCGAGTGTAGCTCGGGGTAAAGTTTCAGTACCACAAGCGGTAACCCCGAGCTACACTCAGGAATACCATGCGGCGCTGCTCTGCGATCCCTCGATCTCTTACCTTGTCCTGCGCTCCCGCGATGTCCCTCCTGCAGTCTGTCCCCGGCAATGTAATCCGGCGGATGCCGGCATCTGTCATCTGGGTTCCATCCCCTGCGAGCGTCGAGATGTACAGGGGACGGAATGGCAGGAAATTTGAAAATGACAAAAAGTGACATTCACTAAATACACTAAAATGACATAGTAAAACATTATCACACATTTCATCAAACCATTTCACATACATTTTGTCCCGAGTGCTTTGTCCTGCGCCCTGCCTGCATTTTTATGTTCTTTCTGCCTGGAAACTGAGAAACGTCCATGGCGTCCAAAAAGCGTCCCTTTAGGTCAAAAGCGGTTTTAGACCGCTAGAGAACAGCGATAGTAAATCAGAACCACTTGCAGAATTGAGTGTGGAAATTCATCATCAGACACTGAAAACGATTCTGCGACTTTGCTCAGTGATGTGCGAACTTGGCGCTATATTTCAAATTTCAGTGTTTTTGGTTTGATTATATTATTGAATTAAATTATTATTATTATATTATTATTTTTTATGATTATTTATTAAATTATAATTTATGATTTCGTGTTTCAAGTTTTATCATACCCGGGATGTTTACTAGACTCTTGTTCGTACAGATTTCAGTGAGTTATTCCTAAGAATTACAGGCCTACAATATAAAACGCCAAATTTCCATGCAAAATAATGGTACCGCTTTCAGCACCAAAAGTCTGCAATAATCATACCGCCAGGGAGGTTAATCAGGCAACATATCGTCTCCTCACTACCTGTCAAACACCATCACAGAACACTTTTTTAGAGAGCTGGCAAGGGCTACCACCTGTGCAAATGAGCCCCAAGGCCCCGTTCACATGGCTGTTCAAATTAGGTCCACCTAATTTTTTAGGTGGACCTGACTGGAAGGTCCATAGAGCCCTGTGGACAGGTGGACACCCGACTACCTTTGGGTCCGATCAACTCTGCTAAAATATACAGCATAGGACTGCGTCCTTTTCTATTTTGGAGGATCAGATCAGAGTTGCCTGATGTAAACAGACAGCAGAATCCATTTACACCCGGCTGGCCATAGAGCGGACAGGTGTCCTCTCTCCAGGAGCTGATTGGGCACGAATGTGACATGTATCTCGCTCTGCTCCAATCAGTAGGGGGTCAGCTCAAGCGTCACCTGCTGTTTGAAGAAGGATCCACCCCGTGTGAAGGGGGCCTAAGGGTTATTTTTATGGTTGGGGTTAGCTGAGGACTAATCCTGTGCTGAGGATATATGAAAGCTGCGATTACTAACCTCTTCTGAAAATGCTAGTTCCCTGGCCGCCATACTATTGCCATGTCTTTCTAATCTATGGACCTGGAAAAGCATGTAGATTTGGGTAATAATGTTAGGCTCACAGTGCTCATTACATGCTAGTTTCAGTGACTGGAGAAAGTACTGAAGACAGACAATGCCAAGTTACTAGTATATCAAGAAAGAAGCCACCAAAGGCAGGCATGAGACTTCAGGGGGATCATTTTATTTCTCTGGGGCAGAGAGGGGTTGTACAGCGCAGTCATAAAGTATTCAGACCCCCTTCACTTTTTTCAATTTTGTTATATTGCAGTCGGATACTACAGTTGTTTCAATTCATTTTTTTCTCATTAATATGCCTGCAGTACCCCATATTGATAAAATGAAAACAGGATTTCAGAAATGTCTGTGAATTTATTAAAAAGAAAAAATTGAAATATAACATTTACTTAAGTATTCGGACCCTTTACTCAGTACTTTGTTGAAGCACCTTTGGCAGCAATTACAGCCTTTTTGGGTATGACGCGACATGCTTTGCACACCTGGGTTAGGGGATTTTCTGCCATTCTTTTTTGTAAATCCCCTCAAGCTCAGTCAGGTTGGATGGGGGCCATCTGTGGACAGCCATTTTCAGGTCTCTCCAGAGATGTACAATAGGGTTCAAGTCAAAGCTGTGGCTGGGCCACTCTAGGACATTCACAGTGTTGTCCCTAAGCCATTTCTGTGTTGTCTTGGCGGTGTTCTTTGGATCGTTGTCATGTTGGAAAGTAAACTTTCGGCCAAGCCTGAGGTCCCAAATGCTGTGAAACAGGTATTCATTGAGGATATCTTTGTACTTTGTTCCATTCAGCTTTCCTTCAACCCTGACCAGTCTCCCAGTCTCTGCTGATGAAAAACACCCCACAGCATGATTCTTCCACCACCATGCTTCACTGTTGAGATGGTATCGGGCAGGCGATGAGCAGTGTCTGGTTTCCTTCAAACATAACATGTAGAATTAAGGCCAAACAGTTCAATCTTAGTTTCATCAGACCAAAGAATCCTGTTCCTCGCAGTCTGAGAGTCCTTGAGGTGCTTTTTTGCAAACTCCAAGCAGGTGGAGTTTCGTGTGTTTTTCACTGAAGAGAGGCTTTTCTCTATCCACTCTGCAATAAAGCCCAGGATGGTGAAGGGCAGTGATGGATGTCCTTTTGGAACTTTGTCCCATCCCCACTCAGGATCTCTGGAGGTCAGTCAAAGTGACTATTGAGTTCTTGGTCACCTATCTTACTAAAGCCCTTCTCCCCCAATTGCTCAGTTTTGCTGGGTGACCAGCTCTTGGAAGAGTTCTGGTTGTGCTAAACGTCTTCCATTTGAGAATTATGGAGGCCACTGTGCTCTTCGGAACATTCAGTGCAGCAGAAATGTCTATAGTTACCTGCTCTGTGCAGTGGTGTTGCACAGAACAGCCCTGATTCTCCTCTTCTCAAGTCCCCCGCAGCGCTCCTAGCTCCTCTTTCCTGTCATGCACCCCCATAGCAAGTTGCCTGCTCCCGAGCTGCTGCTCCTTGTGTCCATTCACACATGGAGCCATGGCTCAGCCCCGCCCTAATTGTCTCTTCATTGGCTCACTGGCTATCTCAGCCAATGAGGAGGCAGAGACATAGGACAGCCAAGGTTCTCGTGGATAGTGATGAGGCTCAGGTAAGTATTAAGGGGGCTGAGGGAGCTCCTGCAAACAGAAGGTTTTTTACCTTCATCCATAGAATGCATGAAGGTAAAAAACCTTGAGCCTTTACAACCACTTTAAGGCTGAACTCCAGGCACACAAACCTTTGTTCAAATATATTTCACAATAGTCACAAAGGATAAACATTCACTTAGTGCGCACTAAATGCCTTTGCAACCCTAGTTATTACCTTGCAAAATTAGCAGTGGCATCATCACTGTGCTATACATGTCTGCCTGTGCAGAGATCAGAGCTGTAGAAGGGGCTGTGCTGGCCCCACCTACTACTGGATGTCTGTAGAAAACTGCAGGAGGGGGTGGACACAAGACCTGCCACCCTACAGAAGGAGAGAGGGCAGCAGTGAGTGGTCTTTATTACAGAAAGCTCCTGCATAGACGTTTTGCACTGGATTACTGCACAGATCAGGAATAAATACACAAAACACCACAATATTCAAGTAAGAATATACCGTATTTTTCGCTCCATAAGACGCACTTTTTTCCCCTATAAAAAGGGGGGGGGAAATGTCAGTGCGTCTTATGGAGCGAATGTAAAGCGGCCGGGACGGTATTTCTGTCGCCACCATGTCAGAATATCGGGCCGGCCGCTCAGCTCTTCTCTCCTGCAGGAGCTTACCTATTCCTCGCTCCAGCGCTGCAGTCTTCCCGTGGCGGCTTCTGTGACAGCCGGGTGCCCACTGCGCATTCCTTGTACTATGTCCGCAGTCTCTGGTCATCCCCTGTACTGTGTCCGCAGTCTCTGGTCATCCCCTGTACTGTGTCCGCAGTCTCTGGTCATCCCCTGTACTGTGTCCGCAGTCTCTGGTCATCCCTCCCTGTACTGTGTCCGCAGTCTCTGGTCATCCCCTGTACTACGTCCGCAGTCTCTGGTCATTCCCTGTACTACGTCCGCAGTCTCTGGTCATCCCCTGTACTGTGTCCGCAGTCTCTGGTCATCCCCTGTACTACGTCCGCAGTCTCTGGTCATTCCCTGTACTACGTCCGCAGTCTCTGGTCATCCCCTGTACTATGTCCGCAGTCTCTGGTCATCTGTACTGTGTCCGCAGTCTCTGGTCATCTCCTGTAGTATGTCCGCAGTCTCTGGTCATCTCCTGTACTGTGTCCGCAGTCTCTGGTCATCTCCTGTACTGTGTCCGCAGTCTCTGGTCATCTCCTGTAGTATGTTCGTAGTCTCTGGTCATCTCCTGTACTGTGTCTGCAGTCCATTGGTTCAGAATATTTTTTTTCTTGTTTTTCTCCTCTAAAACCTAGGTGCGTCTTATGGTCAGGTGCGTCTTATGGAGCTAAAAATACAGTACACCTCCTATATTTTTACAATATTTGCTTATGCCAGAGTTCAGCTTTAATGGCCCTGTAATCTATTTTTTATGAAATTGTCTTATACTGTTTTTTTTGCCTCCTTAAAGTGATATTCACGGTTTGGATGTTTTTTTAATAACAAACATATCATACTTGCCTGCTCTGTGCAGTGGTTTCGTACAGAGCCGCCTCAAACCTCTTCTTCTCTGGTCCCCTGCTGGTGCTTCTGGCCCCTGTGACCAGTGCCCCCAATAGCAAGGCGCTTGCTATGGGAGCACTGGTGCATGCTCAATCTCAGGCTTGACCCTATGCATCCATAAGACACAGAGCTGCAGCTCGGCCTTCCTTTCTCTCTCCTCATTGGCTCACTGGCTGTGACTGACAGCAGTGGAATCCAATGGCTCCTGTTGCTGTTTCATCCAATGAGGAGTGGGAGTCTCAGGACAGCCGAGGTCCTCATGCACATCACTGGATCCAGAGGGGGCTCAGGTGAGTATTAGGGGAGCTGTGGGGGGACCAGCATAGAATGCATGAAGGTAAAAAAAAAACCTTCTGCCTTTACAACCACTTTAAGCTCCAGAACCTCTTCTTTTCAACCTCAATTCCATTTGTTTGGAATAAGCAGTGCATGTTATTGTGGTCACATGCACTGCTCTGTGTACATTACACATCCCATAGTCTATAGTCCATCTTGGGATCAAGCAAGAGAGAATGACCACCTTCCTAGATACGGTGGGACCATGGGGAATGAACATAGCTACCCTCTAACAGGAAGTCGGATTGCAGCAGCAAAAAAAAAGATTTGAGATTCGGAGGAGGCTTAGAGCAATAGAAGATACTTTTTTGAGTTACAGAGTTAGTCTGGCTGAATAAAGACAAAAGTCCATCCAGTTCAAACATTAAAAAAAAAAAAAAAAGTTATAATCCTATACCACAGTTGATCCAGAGGAAGGCAAAAAAACCCCAGCAAAGCATGATCCAATTTGCTCCTGCTGGGAAAGAAATTCCTTCCTGATCCCCTGAGAAGCAATCGGATATTCCCTGGATCAACATTACCTATAAATGTTAGTATCCAGTTATATTCTGAGTTAACAATACATTATTATTATACAGTGTTTATATAGCGCCAAAGGTTTGCTCAGCGCTGTACAATAGCAAGGGGGACAGAACATGAGACAAAACGGTAACAATACAATACACGAGGGGTTCGAGGGCCTGCTCTTTCGAGCTTACAATCTAGGAGGGAGGGGAAAGTGGTACAGGAGGAAGTGGCTGTGGTGGATGGAGTGGTGGGAGAAGTGGAGGAGATCATTGTTAGGTGACGGTGGGGTAGGCTTCCCTGAAGAGATGGGTTTTCAGAATGCGCCTGAAGGTGAGAAAGGTAGGTGACAGTCTGAAGGATTGGGGTAGGGAGTTCCAGAGGATGGGGGAAGTCCTGGAGAAGTCCTGCAGTCTGGCGTGGGAGGTGGAGACCAGGGAGCTACAGAGTAGGAGGTCCTGTGAGGAGCGAAGGGCATGGGTAGGGTGGTATTTGTGGTGGTATACATTCCTGAATAGACTTTTTTAACCAGAATTTAGTGTCACATAAATTAGTTGAGAATTAATCTGATATGCTGCAAAGCACTTTTTTCCTTTTTTAAAAAAAAAATGACCACCTCTGTATTCTTCCTTTACAAGTGGAGTGTTGCTTTAAAACGATGAAATGGCGCACACTGAGCTGACATGTCCGGGATGACATTAGCCACCTGTCAGGAGTGTTCTGATAGAATAGAATATGGTATCGAATTCCCACCGCCACCCATTAATTTTTCAATATAATGAGCAGCTAATTGGCTCTTCAATTGTAGACGTCTTCTGTTCCCGAACAAAAGGCCGAGCTTTTGTTTTATAAGTATGGAAAAAGGATTTTTCTTAAAATATAGAACTCAGTTTTTGAAGTTCTAAAGAAGACCTTGTAACATGTTAGTAAAACAAGCCAGCGATGTGTACACATTGGAGATACAGTTTCTGTGTACATATAGACAACAGAGGAATGAATACATAGTTGTGAGCGCACGGCATAAATCAGGAGGAGGAGATGACAGCTACAAAATAACAGATTATTTCTTCTTCCAAACAGCACATCTTCTGTCCTGAGAGGTCATTTGTAAGAAAATAAAAAAACGCAAAGACTGCATGTATAAGGTCACACAGAGTAATCATGTTTTGCCCTAAAAAAAAAAAAAGCGAATATCCACTTGAAGACCAGGCATTTTCTGGCCCTTTTTGTTTACATGTAAAAAAACAGTATTTTTTGCTAGAAAATTACTTAGAACACCCCCCCCCCCCCAAACATTATACACACTATATTGCCAAAAACTATTGGGCCGCTTGCCTTTCCACGCACATTAACTTTAATGGCATTCCAGTCTTAGGCTGGCCATACACTATACAATTTTCTGTCCAATTTCTGCCCAATTTCCTTTAGATTTACCTCTCAACTATGTAGTGTACGGCCTGCTTTATTAATATTGAGTTGGCCCCGTCCTTTGCAGCTATAACAGCTTCAACTCTTCTGGGAAGGCCGTCCACAAGGTTTAGGAGGGTGTCTATGGGAAGGTTTGACCATTCTTCCAGAAGCACATTTGTGAGATCAGGCACTGATGTCGGACAAGAAGGCCTGGTTCACAGTCCCCGCTCTAATTCATCCCCCAAGGTGTTCTATGGGTTGAGGTCAGGACTCTGTGCAGGCCAGTCAAGTTCCTCCACCCCACATGCACGGCCATCCAGGGCAGTGTGCCTGAGCCGACAGAGAGGAGGACTGTTAGTAAACAAAGCAGTCCTCCCTGTCGAGATGATTGACAGCTGCTGACGCAAATGGTGGCACGGGTAGGGCGCACGGAAATACAAAATTATGTGTGTTAATACCGGAAATTTTCGCTCCAAAGACGCACTTTGTGTCCAAAAAAGGGGGGAAAATGTCAGTGTGTCTTATGGAGCGAATATGGAGCGGCTGGTCCGGTATTTCCACCGCCGCCGTGTCAGAATACCGGGCCGGCCGCTCAGCTCTGCAGCGGGACCTTATGGAGATGATGGCTGACCTTTGGGGAGGGGGGGAGCGGGTACCTGAATTTGACAGGTACCCTCTCTTACTTCCGCGGAGTTGTTTTCTTTGACCTTACCTGTTCCTCTGTCCAGCGGCGCGCTGTCTTCCGGATTCTGTAGTGTGGGCACTGGGCATTGACAGCCGGGTGCCAAGTGCGCATGCGCAAGAAGCGGTGCTTTTTGTGAATGGTAAGGCGGTACCTGGGACACATGACAGATCCCAGAAGCCGCCGGACCAATCACAAAGCGCAAGGGCTTCTCGCTCATGTGCACTGGGCACCCGGGTGTCATGCCGAGCGCCCACACTACAGAAGCCGGGAAGACAGCGCGCGGCTGGATAGAGGAACAGATAAGATCAAAGAACAACTCCGCGGAAGTAAGAGAGGGTACCCTGTCAAATTCAGGTACCCGCTCCCCCCCCCTCCCCAAAGGTCAGCAGTCATCTCCTGTACTGTCCGCAGTCTCTGGTCATCCCTGTGCTGTCCGCAGTCTCTGGTCATCCCTGTCTGTCCGGTCATCATCCCCTGTGCTGTCCGCAGTCTCTGGTCATCCCTGTGCTGTCCGCAGTCTCTGGTCATCCCCCGTGCTGTCCTCAGTCTCCGGGTAATCCCTGTGCTGTCCGCAGTCTCTGGTCATCCCTGTGCTGTCCGCAGTCTCTGGTCATCCCTGTGCTGTCCGCAGTCTCTGGTCATCTCAGTCTGTACTATACTATGTCTGCAGTCCATTAGTTCAGAAATTTTTTTCCTGTTTTCTGCCTCTAAAACCTAGGTGCGTCTTATGGTCAGGTGCGTCTTATGGAGCGAAAAATACGGTATATATATATATATATATATATATAATTGCTTTTTGCGCACCCCTGCCACCCTGTAGCAGTATATCTGCTATAGGGTGGTCGAGAGGTGATAAACGGATGCGGACATTAATGGATGTAAATGGAATGATCATCTTTAACACACTTTCTGTAGGAATGATCTATGAATCAATGAACCTTCTATTGACAAATCCCTGATTAGGAGATTGCAGCTTCCCAGTAACCGGACAAAGCCATGTCTTGACTACCAAGTCAGCTCTGCTAATTGTAACACACACAACAAAACAAAGCTTATCTAGATGTGATGCAATGAAGTCCCATTCCTGACAATGTGTGTGTATTTAAGGTGTGTCAGGACCTACGCTCAGCTGAATGGGACATACAGTGAAGAGTGAAAGCGCTCAATACTACATCCCTGCATGGAACCTGTTCCCTTCAGACCCTGGAATAAAAAGTTTTCGATTCGGTAATCGACTTCTATCGGGATGCAAAGAGATGCCCCAGGATTTCCTTCACCATGGACAGCTACCAAGTTCAAACTCCCATGAGTCAGACCAGGCCGTCTACAGCGGGGGTGAGTGCACACCTTCCATCGGCTAAACGTTTCATTGACCGCGTTTGTATCAATGTATGGAATATATGTTGTATGAAAATTTCCAACATTCCACTTGGTGCTGTTTGTTATCAGATAGGAGCTTACAGATTTACATTTAAACTTAAAGCGATATTAAACCCAAAAGCAAACATTTATTATAATGTACC